AACAAAAAAAATTATACATGACCCAACCCGGGCCGGTCTCGGTAGAATCCCAGGCTGGTACCGGGCCTAAAGCCCAAAAAGTGAACCGCCCGAGACTTGACCCGGGCCCGGTCCAACCTTACACATAAGTGTTTGTAGCAAAATTATTTTTAGAGTAAAATTAGTTCTAACTTATAACTTCTTCCTCTTCATTTATACGGAGTAATTAATAATACTATATTTCATAATTCTCTTACTTCAAGCTAGTATCTTCTTTTGGCAAATTAATTTTCACAAGCAAAAGGAAAATCCATGTTCAAATGCTCAAATGATAAGCTGTTTAGTACTCCGTATTTATTAGATTCACAATTCACAATTGCAAGCAAGTCTTTTAAATCAACCATTAACCATTGAAGATGCTCTTACGGGGTATCATCATGACTTAGTTCAGCCACAAACAAATCAAACTGGTAGGGAATTTTTAGAAAGGGTGTCTTAACAACTAACATAAAATCTTTATAGTTTTAAATAATTTCTAATATCATCTTATAAACTGATATCATATATAGGTTGAACCAATCTCAATCATGAAGATAAAATTTGGAATTGTTTCCTCATCGTGAATCCCAAGTCCTAAGTCCTAACATGAGAGTAACTATCAAGCATATAAAAGAGACTAAATAAATGGTGTGGCTTATAGCCTTTGTATTGATTTAAGACAACACACATTGTTTCAATAAAGGATGTGCGTCAAATTTCGGGAAACATGAACGTATAGTAGGACAATCAAACCATCCAATTTTATCATGATCAATAATGGAGGATCCATCTAACTAAGTACCGATAAACACTATAAACATATTCGCAACCAATATCCATACACCGAGATACAATACATATTGTTTTAGTATGACAATAAACAATGTGCATATAATGTAAAACAACACCATCTTGATATGGTGTATTTACTAGCATTAAGCACTGTGAAGCCACAAGATGATATAATAAAAAGTAATGATGACATGAAATACTGAAACATGTAATAAATTTATAAGGACATGGTGTTACTAATGAATAAAAGCATGAAAGCATCTATAATGACATTGAAGACAACTATAGTATTTACAATAGAGAAAATCATATAAATGAGCTAATTACTTAAAAACACAACTAGAATATAGAAACACACACCGGTGTCATCCAACAGTTATTATGAAATTGCATTATGAAATGGTAACACAAATATGAAGAGAATCATTATTTTACTCAAACCAACCGGATCAAGCAAAAAATGTAGAGAAGAGGAGTTGGAAACATAAAAGCACAAATCATGAAGGAAAACAAAATGAATTAAATAGATACTGAAATCATGATCGAATATGAAGTCTGGAGCATGATATAAATTTCATATCAAATTTAAGGAAACAACTATAAACGTAAAAACATTGCTCAATAAAAAATGAAGAAAACAAATAACAACAGAGCTTCAAACTCATCCTGTGTAAAGCATAAAGAAAATCCAGAATTTGTTTCAGAAAGCAAATAAGCATTCAGAAGAACACTAACTCATGACTCATGAGTCAGCATAGATGAATAAGGGAATAAATTTTCGAATGAAAAAAAGGAAGAAAATAATATATGACCAATAATCAGAGGTGGGAGATATCTTAAATAAATAAAAAATTATAAGCACCAATGATGGTAAGGGTACATTAGGATTAGAAAAAATGTTGGTGTACTAAAGAAGCAATAACAATTTGTTCAGTATGCATAATAAGTTGTACATTTTTAATCGATTGATCTTTCTAACCCTGTTCTTCCGTTTCTATTCTGTTGCTTTACGTTAAGTTATAAAAAAAACCATCCATTTTCATTCCCGTTTCATCTCTTTAGTGAGTTTAATACTACCTATCAACTTTAACATTTATTTTGATTATTAATAAACAATGTTTTACCTCTTTTCTTTTCAATAAAAAAGAATATCCAATGGGAATTAGGCTGCAGGTCATATCCTCAACCATATGTGATGCTGCAAAGAACGTTTTAGAAAGTGCCGGTGGGAGTGAATCTTACGGAAAAGACTTTGGCAGAAACACATTTTTGAACCATTCTTATAGCTGAAAAGATATTTTTTTTAGATTTTTAATTGTAAATTTTAAATGACTGAAAATATCTGAAAATGAAAAGCTATTAGCTACGTAGTATTTGATAAAATACTGAATGTTTGATATAGTTATGTTTGATATACAAATTGTTCTAACTAATTAATGTTAAAAGTTACAAACTTTTCTCAAATGCTACTCAATGTATCTTTAAAAAAACTTTTATTTTGATAAAAACTCTTAAAAATTGTCTTGCAAAATATACAACTAGAAACTTTTAAGAACTTTTTAAATACAGACCAGAGTAGTAGAAAAGCTAGAAGATATAGACTTATGTCTACTAAGCATGCTCATAATATATACTAATATTTCCGACTGATAATGGTTTTTAAACTATTCCCATAAAACTTAGATCCTTTTTTAAGCTATTAGGATGTTTTTAATTAGGTTGTAATTTTCTGACCTGATTTGGTATGTTTAAGTTTGGTCTTGTCTGGTCTATTTGAATCTGGATTGGTTTGCTTAAATTCGATCTGGTCTATTTGGTCTGTTCTAGGGCTGCAAACAATCTCAATAAAAACATTCTTATTTATCAAATTATTCATCATACATCTTTACGATTTTTGGTAGATCTATTTTACTTTTCTTGGGCCACAATTGTTCCTACGCTTATTAAAAAAATGATAAATGACAGATTACACTCCTAAGGTTTATTTCGATGATTGATTGAATAAGTTGATTAAATCCAATATGAATTAATAGCTATGAACTAAATTGTACTACACACTATTTTTTTTTTTTTTGCAATTAATTGTACTACATACTATATTTACTAATAGTTGTGCACTGATTTGTAAAAATTAAGCTTATAATGTGAATTCTTTATTTATTCAGTAGACTAAATAAAATTTAGTCCCTAGGGGGGAGGGGGCCCTAGGTGCAAAAAATGAAAAAAGCCTGTGTTTAGTTCTTTATAATAGCTAGGTGTGAGTAGACTGGTTTTTTTCGGGTGGAATTCTTTGAGGTGCTTGCTGGTCTTTTTTTAATGAAAATTTATGAGCATGTTGTTATCAAGTCTATACTATGTCCACGAAATTTCATTTTAGAACTCAATCTAGAAGATAGTTAAATAATTTATGAATAATTTTCAACTGATTTTTCGATTGAATATTAAGAGGAATTTTGTGAACAAAATGTACACTTAATGAAAAACATGCTTACAAAATGTCGTAAAAAAATCCACGTATTGGAAGCAAATTAGCCTAATACGATTATTTGATTAGTCTATTAGTTGATTTCATTCATAGTTGGTTGTTTGATTTTGTAATAGTTGATTGTCTCTATTGAGTATTAGGACAAGACCCTTTTTAATTCTTTGCCCCTGGGCCTTGAAACATTTAGGACAGGCCCTGCAAAATTTGTTACTAAGTTGTTGCATTTGATTTAATGGTAATATACATTGTTAAGGCTTAAATAGTGTTGACCACGTTTACAAATTCGGCTCATGATTAAGGGAACATAGTGAAACAAGCCATGCATATAATGAAAGGATGCAAATATGTTCTTTAGGTTTTGATTTTGTTAGCATTTTCTGTATTAATCCCTCAAAAAGAGGATTTATAACCCCCTCTTTAATACATTCTCCTAAAAAAACTGATTGTAATATAATATACTACGTACTATTGTATTATGTACCATTTTACATATATAATTAGTTTAACAATTTTGAAACTCGAATTGATTAGTGATCTTGAATGGTCCTATTCCCCAAACACCAAAAGTTCACTAATAATAAATGTATATCGAACTTTTTCCCACAGTTTACCACAAATTGCAAATCTGCAAAAGTAGTTATCATGCTTATGATTTAATGCTTGGATATCACATGCGGTTATTAGAATACATGTACTCATTTCTAACTTTCACACGAGTTCTAAAGAAACTTCTTAATTTCTTAACTTTTTAGAAACACAATCATTTTCATTCTAGGATGCATATCTTATTGTGTGGAAGAATGGATGATCTTGTTGGATTCAAAATTATATTGTCAATGTTATTGGGCACTATCCCACACGCGCAACGCGCGTTAAAAAACTAGTGACCAATAATAAAGGAGAGACATTTTTTACGAGTATGTGTTAAGAACGGATGAAATTGCTCATTGAATGACTATAATATATCGAGTAACATTTTTGAAAATAAGACTGTTCGTTTTCCCTCGATTAATCATGACCTTTCTAGCTCTAATTTAATGTCAAACTCAAATGGGTATAATGTCTAAAAGGAATAAATGAATATTGAACACATACCGGAGTATACAATTGAATATTGAACACATTAGAAATGTGTTTATGTTAAACACAAATGAGTATAATGCCCAAAATGAATGAACATACACAATTGAATATTGAACACATTATGTATTTATGTTTGCTCATTTGGTACTATTTTTATGTTCATTTTAAAATGTTATATCAATACATATTTCAAAAGTATCATAATAAATTAGATTCGCATATATTGAAAATAATTATAGACATAATTTAAGATTTTTTATAAAAGAAAAAATTATAAAAATGAATTACGGAGTAATAGATATGAAACATAGTTTATGATGCTCATTATTAGACTCATAATACATTAAACAATAAACTTGATGCTCACCAAAACTAAAAGCCCGTTTGGTAACATTGAAATTGGCTGAATCGATTGATTCTGCTGAAAACTATGAAGTTCTGGCTGAATTGGCCGATTCTACTAATTTATGTAAAAATTATATTTAAAATATTTTTAATTAATAGATTAAATAAAAAATTATGTGAAAAAATAGCTAAAATGATTCTATACAGTAATTTCAGCCAGTTAAAAAAGTAAATTCAGTTCTTTCTTTTTCTTTCTTGTTATCCCACAATTTAGCAACTGAAATCAAAATTAGGCCGTCTTCAACCAGACTACTCCGTATAAGAAATTGCCAGCCTTGCAGCCCGTGTTGTACCGGATACACTCCACTCCGGTTGCCACTGTTTCAGATAATCAGATTTTGAGTGTCGCTTGATATCAGCCCCGTAGTGTCTACGGTATAATCCAAATATAGGAAAATGGGATCTCCTTTTGGTCATCGCCACTCTCGCCATGGCTGCGAAGATGATCCGCCGCCAACGGGTCTCAGCTATGTCCACCACACCTCTCACGTAGGCGGTCGTGAGCCACACCCACCACCTTTCGGATATCCAACTCCACCAGAAGTTGGATACGTCCAACATCCTGAACCGCATAACCGGCCTTCTCCGCCTCCTCCATCCGTGCACCACCCTGAACCTGAACCGTATGGCCGGCCTTACCCGCCTCCACCAGCCGTCTACCACCCTGAACCCCACGGAGGTACTTATCCTCCACCGCCAGCTATCCACCAGAATGAACCCTACGGTGCTCATCATCCATCGCCAGCTGTCCACCATGTCTCTCACGAAAGCTATCAGCATGGATTTCAGTCCAATACACCTGATGTTGTGTACAAGCAATCGCATCCGCACCTCCCGGAGATCAGTAATCGGCCTACTGTTCGTGTTTTCTGCAAAGCCGGAACTAATCACTCGCTCTCAATCCGCAATGGGAAGGTCATTCTGGCCCCTACAGATCTATCTGATGAATATCAAGTATGATCTGCTCCCATCTCTCACCTTTAATTTTAACTTGATCGGATCAACTCGATGTTGCTAATTCACATGTTGGGTAAATTTTGCAGCACTGGATCAAAGATGAGAAGCTGAGCACAAAAGTTAAGGATGAAGAGGGACTCCCCAGCTTTGCTCTGGTGAATAAAGTTACAGGGGAAGCTATCAAGCATTCTATTGGTGCCACTCAGCCGGTATGTGTTTTGATGTTCCGCTGTAATTACCAGTCGTTCTTGCCCCTGTCATTGTGCTTATAATTCAAGTCGGTCAATCATTTCTTATCTAGATATGTGTACTCATTCTCTCAATTCGACCAGTTTGGGCAGTTAGCTTTGTTTGAGTTACTGGAAAATGAGCTGAGGTGGTCAGGTGGAAAACACATTTCTGCTAAAAAAAACTTGCATTATTTTTTTCCCTTGGAAGATAATGGGTGTGTTTAGTTTCTAGGGATGAAAAATTGCAACCGCACCTGTTGGATAACTGACCTATTCAACCCGAAATTATAGATGAAAACCTGAAAGTTTTAGGGTGGAAAAAGGGTGATGGACAGATAGAATGATAGTTTGGATACAGCCATACAGGTAGACATGCACCCATCCATCCCCGATCTGCTATCCACCCGTTGTTATTATAACTTTTATCAAGTACAAAGTATTAGTATAGCCCGGCTATACTAAATTATTAATATTTGTAATAGCCCAATACTCATCATCATTACACTAGTGCCACAAAGCTCCTACCTACGATGGGGTAGGGAGGTCGGATGTACACAGTCTTACCTTTGTACTTAAGCACAAAGCGTCTGTTTCCGAATGACCCATAGTGAAAATCGGGTCGAAAATTGCATGAAGTGACTGGTGCTTCATAACAAAGAAGCGCAGAGCCGCAGACAGTTTAGTGAACCATTTTGCTTTATTCCATCATATTCTCAAGCCAAAAAATAGTGACTCTTTAGCTCCATTGCAAATGACAGAGAAATTGTAATAGCCCAATAAAGTTACATATTTTTCTCTCTAAAATCACTAAATCTAAACATATTAAAGAGCCCATTTATTTTCTTTTTCATTATTTGTTTTTTATTTTTATTATTGACTTGATGCATTTGCGGTAAATGTAAGTACAGACGTGATTTAGAGTGTTGGGCACTTTGTTTGATCTATATGAACTTTTATTTTTATTTATTGTTCATTTGTTTTGAGATAATTTAGTGTACTATATACTCTGTACGAAGTATTATTTAATGTACTTTTCATTAGCATGTGTGGATGCGTGTGGACCTCTGCCTGACTCTAATCCAGCCTATCGTCACCCCTACTGCTTGTGAAAGTTTTTTCCGTATTAGTTTTCACACTCTAATCTTAAAAACATATTTGTCACATATATATTCTGGAGTCACTTCCCTAATCTATTTTTACGCAATAATAAGTTATGTTATGGAATTGTTATGGTGGGGTTAGGATTATTGACATTTGAAATTTGAAATTGAAAGAGGTAGCGTGGGGTTGTTACTGATGGCTAATAGGTTCCTGACAATGTTGGTAGTTGCTGGCAATGCAATGGGTGACAAATGCTAGCGGCAGTTGATGGAGGGAGCCGGGAGATACTGGAGGCCGCATCAGTGGCTTCTTTAAGAATGGTGGATTTGCCCTTCAGAATGGTTGCATAACCACCCAATAAAGGAGTGTTTGCAACTGTTTCTGCTTAAAAAAACACTTTTGGAGATGTAAGGAAAAAATGATTAGTAGTAAAAGTTGATAGTGTTTGAGAAAAAGTGATTTTGAAAAGTAAAAGTTGGTAGTGTTTGGTAAAATAAGTGCTTTTTGTGTAATAGAAAAGGGAAAATCACTTTTCACACGCAAGCCGAGAAAAAGTAAAAATTGGTAGTGTTTGGTAAATAAGTGCTTTTTATTGCTCACTTTTGTCGATTGTTGCTTCGAAGTTCAATTCCTTAAGGTTTTCGGTTACTAGGTTTCAAATCGGAGAAATTTTGCTCCGGCGACAATAATTAAAAGTGACGGTGATGTATTCCGGGATGAAGCTCTGCACATTTCGAATGAAGTTGGAGTGAATATGATCATGTCCGATCACATAGATTGAGAGGGGCATGGCCGGATGGGGATAGATAGGGGGTTACAGCCAGGGAGCTGGGGAGGGAGTGGGGGTTGCCGGTGGTCACCAGGTTGGGGCTGGGCGGTTGTACATGGGTTTTGGAGGGGGTTGGGGCTAGGGAAGGGGCTGGATGATATCTGGGCTGGGGTTGGGGAGGGGGAGGGGGCTGGTGCGGGGCAGCTGAAGTCATTGGGCGGTGGAGGTTGGCCGCCGGAATATGGTGGTCAGGAGTAGTGGCTAGAGATGATGGTTGGCGGCAGCTGGGTTAGCAACTTAACTCGGTCCGAGTTAATTTTCCGAGTTACTCGCCGAGTACTCGGCGAGTTTTGCTACTCGGTCAACATCGGAAATCGGTGAGTACTCGGCATTACTCGTTTTTTTTAAATTGAAGCACTACGGTTAGAAATCCTAAATTAAAACAAAAATTTAATTGAGTTCCAAGTCTCCGATTGCAACATCGGCTCTCTTGGAGTTGCGCGACATCCGCTATCCCTTGAAGTTGAGACTGAGACATCGGCTATTAACTCTTCTTTCTCTCGTAACTTCACCTCTTCACTTCTGGTTTCTTCTTCTTCCCCCCTCTCTTAGTCGTGTATGTTCTTGCTTTCTTGGATAGTTTTGGTTCTTGTTTTCAGTAAGCTTTCATCTTGGATAAGTAGTCTAGTAGACATCCTACTTTATAGTATCCAATGCATGACTTCTTGGACTAAACTGATAAATACTTTGGAATAATATAAGTAGTCTAGTAGACATCCTGCTTTATGTTGGACTAATGCCCTCGTACTCCCTATAAATTCAATTTCAACAATAGACATTAAATTTTGATCACTTATAAAATTTAGAAAAATTTGATAGTAATAATCTCAACTATTGGCGGTCCGCTCATAATAATCTCAACTATTGATTATTACAGAATAATTCCAACTTTATGGACCTTCCGCCAATAATGGTCCCTATGAATAAATTCTTGTAGTTTCTAAAGTGGATGCGATGAAATATAACAAGTAATCCCTATAAATAATCTCAACTTTTAATTTTTACGCTTAATTTCTATTTAAAATTCACTTTTTATAGAGGTAATATATGGTCATGGACCATTATTGACTGATAGTCTATATAGTTGGGATTATACAAAAATAATCCATAGTTGAGATTATTTTCAGCGAACCAGCAATAGTTGGGATTATTATTTTCAATTTTTCCTAAAATTTAAATTTTGAAAACTTGGAATATTTATGACTTTTGCTACTCCATCATTAGGATAATAGGATTTGTATCTTTTTATTCATTTCTATGCTTTTAAAACAATTTTAAGACTATTTCAAGACTATTATATTTCTACATATCTGGCAACTATATTATTAAATTTAATTAATACAGGATCGAGTAATCACCGAGTAATCCCGAGTAATCGGTCCTACTCACTACTCGGCCCTTGACCGAGTTACTACCGAGTAACGAGTAAACTACCTAGGGCGGCGACAGTGGTGCCCGACGGTGGCCAAAGATGGTGGTCGGTGGTGGTCACCATCATGTCGGGTAGCGGACTAGCGGTAAATGATCCGAACATGTAATTGCAATTGATCGGGTCTGAAAACTATAACTAATTGGATCCGATATTTGTAACTAATTAGATTGTGTAACTGTAACTTATTGGATCGGGTAATTGTAATTTATTGGATTTGGTAACTGTAACTAATTTGTTCATGTTGGTCACTGACACGGTGTCACTATGGTGTGGATCACTGACACGGTGGTTACTATGACGTTGGTCACTGACACGCCGGTAAATATGGGCGTTGGTCACTTGCGCGGTGGTCACTGGGCTCTAGTCACTATGACATTGGTCACTGGATGGTGGTCACTGAGACGATGGTCACAGGAGCGGCGGTAGTAACGGGGACGGTAGTCACTGAAACGGTGATAGTAACTAGGACGGTGGTCAGTGGAGCGGTGGTAGTAACTGGGACGGTCTTCACACTTATTTCATGTAATAATTTTAATATTCAAGTCCCTTTAATATTTTAGTAACTGTGATGTTTTTTTACAACTTTTAGAATTTTAATGCAATATTTAAATATTTATTTTGAGATATATGGATTGTATTATCAGAGTGTTAGATTTTTTTTTGACGAGAGTTTAGATTGTTAGAGTTTCCAATGTTAACTAGAGGCTTAAAGGAATGAAGTTGTATGTAGTGGATCGTTAGTGCAATAGTGCAATGTTATGGATCAAAGGCATGCGAGTCTAGTGTTGACCGTTGAACTAGAAGGGCAATTTAGGGAAGAAGGAGCTTATTAGTCACATATTTGGAAGTAAAAAAAGAGGTCTCTTTTTTGTCCATTACCTTTTTTCTTTTTTAAGTAGTATTTATGCCAGAACCCCTAATAAAATACACGTTACACGTGATAACACACCTTGCTGCACCATACCAGAATTAAACTGACAATTCTAGGCCAGACCAGGCCATTTTAAACCAGACCTGAAGAGGAAATTGTAATGTAAATGAAAGAGTACATTAGTGGGAGAAAGAAGGGCCCAGAGATGAACTTATGGCATTTTTATTCATTGGACACTCCCTTCAAAGAAAAAGTCGAAATGGAAGCAAAAACAACTCCTGAATACTCCGTATATCTAAATAAATAATGTGTCTCAGTCCCATTTAGACTATCTATGCAATGGGTAGAAGTGTAGAACTACATGTTACGTAGTATTTATTTATGTTACTATATCCTTGCATCATTTCCGAACATGTTTCATAATTTGGATTAATCAGCTTTTCATCGAATTATTCTCAGGTGCAGCTCACCCCTTACAATCCTAGTCATCTTGATGAATCAATCTTGTGGACGGAGAGCAAGGACACAGGGGATGGGTATAAAGCAATCAGAATGGTTAATAACATTCGCCTCAATATGGATGCATTCCATGGGGATGAAGACCACGGGGGTGTCCATGACGGGACTACCATTGTTCTCTGGGAATGGACAAAAGGAAAAAACCAAAAATGGAAAATCATCCCCTATTAAACTGTACGTCCTTTTTAACATTATGCATATGCGCTCTCTCTGATCACCCAAGACCATTTGTTAATACCTGCCACTATTTCCCAACATCGGGTATTTATATTAAAGGACCCATTCACCCTCAATATAATGTGCATGCAATTGCGAAGTTAATCCACTGTTTGGAGCTATATTTTGCCTTTATTTTACTTAACAAAATCTTTCTACTTTCTATAAAACCAACCATGTTGCACTGGATATTTTTCACGGAGTGCAAATGTGCAATGTTAAGGATAAATCATTACACATTGAATAAAACCAACATCTAATAAGACATTGGAAAACTTGAGAAGAATAATCTCAACTATGACATATATGCGTGAAATAATCCCAACTATTAATTTTTTCAAAGTAATCCTTTAAGTGGATAATCTTCTCTAAATGCTCCCACTTTGTTAATATTCCTCAAGTCTGATCACACCTTGCGGGAATATGGGGTTTGGTTATGGGGTTATTCTTATTTGGATTATCGGTTTGGGCCTGTGGACGTAATTTGGGTCAAGTCTGGTTAGACCGTCAGAGTATATTTAGAGTGCGTTGTTTGCCAAATCTTTGTGTGCATTCTGTAATTTCAAACCTAGTGTCCTAACAAAATCGGATCTTCTCCTATGTTGGCGAACCACATAAATGGGCTTGCCTTTTCTTGCGTTAATATGTTCTTTGCTTTGTGGGAAATAGACCATAACACACTTCTTGGCAATTTATTCTTCAAGTAATAGCTAACTATACTTTATAATTTTATCAGACCAAAGGTTTAACTTCTGCCACAACTATGCTTTCTCATCTTCATAGGCAAATAGTAAAAAGGTTCTCTTAGACGCAAGGTATAAGGACTGGAGCTTCAAGGAAATTACATAGCTTTCCCACAGAAAAGAGAACAAGAAGGCTAGAACAATTAGTAGTACCACCAATCAGGAAAAAATCTGAAAAAACACTTGAGATGTGTGCAATTCTAACCTAAAAGTGTGACCAAACAAGAATAATCTATTGTGCGTTGAACTATTTCATATTAATGCAGAGTTCACGATTTTCATATTAATGCATATTTCAAAAGTACTTCCTCCGTTCTCTTTCTGTTGCAAAAGTCCACTTCCTTCATCCTAAATAAAGTCTTTGACTACCCTAGAATCAGAATTGACCATTTTGAATATAAACCAAGCCCTAATACATTTAATTTAATATGCTGTTTGTCAGTGCGCCTTTCCAAGTGACAACATTCAACATTCCCGAATCACAATTTCTGTGATATCTGATCTTATATACTCATGCAGTCCGTATAATTACTATTGTTTTTATATTAATTTGATTGTATCTATCCAAATGCTCCATGCAGGACTACATATTGCAACTATCAAGTATCAAGGCAAGCTGCATGTATCCTGTTAACTGTATTTGCATGACCTTTAATCCTCGGTGATTATATTAATGAAGCGATGCATTGTTTGTACTCTGTAGTCTGTACAAGTAATGTAAATTTGTACACTGCCAATTTCATACTTACCAGTTACCAAGTTACCTTTAATCCTTGGTGAATATATTAATTAAGTGATGCATTGTTTGTATGAGTAATAAATAATTGTTACCAGACAATTGCATAGTTTATTACGGTATGTGTAACGAATATCATACATCATGACTTCATGAGTTTGTATCTATTCATCTTTTCAGCTTCTCTTTGGTCACACTTTTAGGTTAGAATTGCACACATCTCAAGTTTTTTTTCGGATTTTTCCCTGATTGGTGGTACTACTAATAGTTCTAGCCTTCGTGCTCTCTTTTCTGTGGGAAAGCTATGTAATATTCATCAAACCTCCTCTATTGAGCATTGAAACTCTGCAATTGAGTATGAAATATGTATGAATACGAAAATCGTAAATTTTGCTAGACGAGTAACAATACATTTTCATCGAGCATCGAACATAGTGGTGGACTGAACCGGGCCGGTTCGGGCCTCGGGCCTAGGCCCGGCCGGGCCTCGGTTCAGTAATAGCAGGCCCGAGCCCGAACCGGGGTAGGGCGGTCCCGGGTCCGGTTCCGGGCCGGACCGGGCCGGGCCGGTCGGGCCACCCGGTTTAATTTTTTTTTTTTTCCTTTCTTCCCCCCACCCCACCCCCCCCAAACCCCCCCAAACCCCCCAAACCGGCCTAAACAGATAGCCCAAGCCCAACAGCCCAAAAAAAATGAAAAAAATTAAAAAAAAATAGATTTGGCCCGGACCCGGGCCCGAACCGCCCGGGCCGGGCCGTCAAACCCATGAACCGAGCCCGGAACCGCCCCACCCCCGGGCCTCCGGCCCGAACCGGACCCGGACCCGGAAAACCGGGCCGGGCCTGCACAGTGGCGGATCGGGCCGGTCCCGGGCCGGGCGGCCCGAACCGAGGCCATGCCTAATCGAACATCCTATATTGAGAATTAGAAGCATGCAATTAAGTTATTTTTTGGAAATTTTTGGCAGCCCAGGTTATCTACCGATTCATGCTAAGAGGGCGTATTGGATGGGCTTTTTTGGTTTTCCGTCTTTTAGATTCTAATTAATTTGGGTCAGGTTCGATCCCCTCGAGTTGCTTTTTTCTGTTTGATTTTATTTCAGTTGTTGTCTTGGGGGTATGCCTCCAGAAGGGATTGGTATATCCACCCTTCATCCTGTACCATCTTCCTATATAATAAAATCTGGTAAATGACTCCCGGCATTTACCCCACTGATTTTGGTGGTTGCCCTTCCGGGATTAAAAAAAAGCATGCAATTAAGTATCGTGATCTCTCCTCTCGTGTCTTATAATTCACTTTCTTATACTTTTAAAATATTTATTGATATAACATTTTAAAATGAGCATAATAACTTACAAACCGAGCATCGAAAAATTCAAAAGCTCATTTGTAGTCTCTAATGTGCTCGAATATTCATTCGTATATATTCATTCTTTTTAGGCGACATACTCATTTGGGTTTAGCATCAAACTCATTTCCATAATAAGCACATGTAATAGATGCATTTTTTTTTTGAAAAACATGTAATAGATACATTATTAACAATTTAGTCGATTCGTCACTCTTGAATCATGTGACAAGGCTAGATGGAAGACAAGCGGTGGTGGCGCTAAAAGACGGCAAGCAAAGGCGATGGTGGACCATCGACAAGCGATGGCGGTGTTGGACTGGCGGCAAGGGAAGACAGCCTTTTAAAATCGGCTATACATGCGACGAGGACCGCCAAAGTTTCAGGGGCAAGATCTACTGATGTGGTGAAGGTGGCACGACTCGAGCGTTGGGATTCTTGGTCAACGAGTGTTGTGATGAGGGCAACAAAAGACGGTGGCGGCAAATTTATTCTTGACGAAGAAGACGATCAGCCAGGACATACCTACGTACGGTTCGTCTGTTGATGAGAGTTTTATTCACACGTTTAAAGTCTCTATATATTTATTTGTTGAAGAAGATTATTTTACTATTTCATATAACATTTTTTTATTTTATTGATAAAAATATTTTAATATTTTATTGTTTTTGGTAAATAAACTCCGTACCATGTTCTATTTTTCGGAAAAATATATCCTTGAAGTATATGTGGAAATGCATATATAGTTATATACCCCTGAACTTTTAAAAGGTGTAAAAATACCTCTCATATTCATATAAAAAGCAAATGTACACTTATTGACTTTAAGTTAATAAAATAAATTTCACAAAACACCAAAAATATATTACAAATTTGAAATTTAAAAATAATTGTTTTTTAAAAATGTTCTTGTTTTCAATTCTCCCTTTTATTGTTTGTATATCACAATTTAATATTGTTAATTAGTATAAAATATTATTTCAAAATTTTACTATATATTTAAAATTCTTTAAAAACAGGTGTTAATATATGTGTTGCAATGTAAAAAAAATATATATTAATTTTTTTGCATTCTTTGCACTATAAAATGATATACATAGTATTTTGGATGATGATAAATAATCCAATCAGGATGGTGAGGTTTTGTTGCTGGTGGATGACAATGTTGCCCTGGTTGATTTTTTAGATTAACTTTGGTCACTTCGAGTCCTCGCTTACTCACCCCCCTCTAGAATAAGTGTCGTGTTATTTATGAATGAAAGATAGATAAAACATACTCCCTCCGTCCCATTTATATTGTCCCGGAAGAGGGTTGCACGGTTATTAAGAAAAGTGGGTTTGTGTGGTTGATATTAATTGATAAAGTAAGAATAAAGTAAGAATGATTTAGAGCCACACAAATTTTGCCAAATATGGTATGGGACAATATAAGTGGGACTTCCCGAAAAGGTAAAACGGGACAAAATAAATGGGACGGAGGGAGTAGTAAGATTATTTTTGGAATCAACTCTTGAGAAAATTGTTCATAGGTCCATAATTTTCATAACTCGAGACCTTCCGGGTAATTTTTGGGTTTAGCAAAAACCCGATCCAGCCCGGACCGATCTCACCCCTTGAGATTCTAGCGCCCAACAGGCGACAACAACGAGTCAGCGACCCGCGCTCCGACTCTATCTATCTATCTATCTATCTATCTATCTATCTATCTATCTATCTATCTATCTATCTATCTATCTATCTATCTATCTATCTATCTATCTATCTATCTATCTATCTATCTATCTATCTATCTATCTATCTATCTATCTATCTATCTATCTATCTATCTATCTATCTATCTATCTATCTATCTATCTATCTATCTATCTATCTATCTATCTATCTATCTATCTATCTATCTATCTATCTATCTATCTATCTATCTATCTATCTATCTATCTATCTATCTATCTATCTATCTATCTATCTATCTATCTATCTATCTATCTATCTATCTATCTATCTATCTATCTATCTATCTATCCATCCATCCATCCATCTATCCATCGATCCACCCACCCACCCACCCACCCATCCATCCATCTATCCATGTAACAAGATGTAGTACCTTGCTTTTCCCTCTAATTAGACATTTAATCTTTCATATCCATTTAAAAATAAGAGTTGCATGAATATTGGAGTAATTGGAACATTTTCAATTCAAAATAATCTATAATGATGATGATGATAGATAATACTACGTAATAATTATTTTTATTATAATATAATAATAGTGATACATAATTGGCGGGACTTCACTTAGCGCAAAGAAAAAAATCAGAACGTTTACAATATTTTGATTTAAATGTTTTCATTTATAAGCTAGACCACACCAGATTAAAAGAAACTACGCCTAATCAGATCAAATTTAAATACAATAGACTTGATCAGATCAGAATAAGTTAGTAAAATATACATACACCCGACACTTACCAGACTAGATCAGTTTAGGTCATCAGACCAAACTTAAGCGGACCCGATCATAAAACTTTAGTCTAATTAAAAACATCATTGTTATTGCCTTGCAGTACAGTAATAGTTATATTATTAATAACAATAGTCTTCAATAATAATATAAAATAATAAAAAGGTGTAGCTTGCGTTTCCATATTTAATGATTTCATACTCATTTTCTCTAAAAAATAATGTGGAAATTAATAGTTAGCAATTAGTAATTATAATGTGAAAATTTTGTTTTTAAAGTTATACTATCAATTAATGTTTTTGCTTATTGGATGTTTACAAAAGATTGATCGGTAACATTATTGGATGTTCCTCAATTGCATGAATCCTTTGTTATTACACACTCCCTCCATATTGTAAAGATCACTACATTAGACTTTGGCACAAATACGTAACAAAATATTTATATATCTAATGAAAAATATTTTTATTATTACGAAGTGATCCCAACTTTATCCAACTTTGTTCTGAAAAATTCATTCCAAATTTTTAACATATGTAAATCCGAGTTAGTTAAACTATTCATTAGATTTTCACTATCATCTAATAACATGATTAAACATACGATAGTATAACATATGCATCTCGTCCAAACCAAAAAATTTTTTATATGAAAATTTAAACAATTAATCCTTTTTTAATGAACAAGTTTTGGTCGAGGCATTCTCTCTTAACTCTTGTGCATCCTCCATATGTCCCAATTCCCGCCTGCCCAAATACAGACGGTGATTGCTATTTCTCCACCGTCAGCGGCGGGCTTTGTTTCTCCGAAAAAATGGCTACAGAGGAAGCGTCGGAGACCATATTGATTCGGCATCTCCCGGAAGCTATCCCTCCCGAAACTCTCTCTAGACTTCTAACTCACTACGGCGCATCTTCTGTCCGGCCTTGTACTCATGGAAGGTTGGTGCACTCCATTCGACATTAGAACTTACGTGCTGATTCTGCTTATATTTTTCCTTTCCAATTGAACGGAATGCATAAATTTAGTCAATTATTATTCGTACGCTTACAACTTCTGGAAACAATTGGTTTACTCACTCAAAAATCAGAATCTTTAATAGGCTTTCAGTTTGAGTAATAATTACAGCGGGTTATAAGATGTGTGAGTAATAAATATGGGATACTGACCTTGGCCTCATTTGGCATCCCCAGTGTAAAAAATTGTGCCTTTGTAGATTTCAAGGATGAAGCCCTGGCATATCAAGCACAGAGGCAGTTGAATGGGTACTATTTTCAATTCATTTATTTATTTCATTTTTCTTTTGTTGTCCGGTTTCTAGCTATCATTACCCTGAGTACGTTTACTTTTATCAGCCTACGGTTTCTTGGTAAGATATTATCTGTTGAAAGAGCTAGTAAACGAACTGAGGCAGACAAACAGCACCAGCAGAGTGTTCTTGGGACCGGCAAGGATTCAATCAATTTGATCAAAGATAGTGCTTCATACAAAGAACGTGATGGAAGCTCACTATCCTATCTACGCAATGAACCAATTGCTGAAAGACTTGGAGTGGACTATCCGTTTCCACCTCATCTTGAGTAAGCACGCATATTGGACTTCATTAAATGTTCATATTCTTCATTTCCATCTACTATAGTTCCTTGCTTTACTTTGTCACTATGAAAGTGCATCCTTCCATCAACGTCAATTGTTTTTTTTTTCTATCCAAACATGTACCGCTGCAGCCATAGTTGCTGCATGCAAAGGGAGTTGACCAGCATTGCTAGGTTTTCTATTCATAGATAAACAACATGATTGCATGAGTAACTATAAATTGTATACTAACTAATGAGGAGATTATGTTTGTGTGCTGCTAATTCTCATAAGTTCTCTAGCCATCAATGACGTTTGCTTATCACTGACGAATCTGCTTGGGAACAGATATGCATACCCTCCACCTGATGGACACATTTTGACTAATATTGTAAATGCTCTTATCGCTGTCCCACGGTTTTACACACAGGTAACACTAGTTTCCTATTTTGCCTCGACTAGACATGGCCTGTGAAGTTAATCAATTATAGGGTATTTTCTCCTTTAGTGTGCTTGTTCTGTACTTGTAGTCATAGGTGAAGTTATAGACTTCATTGGGATAATTGATAAGGCCAAAGGCATTTAAATAAAGTAGATCAGGATATGAACTAATAACTAAAGACTAGGAAACTAAGAGCCCATTTGGTAACCCTTATTTTTTTAGTTTATCAGCCATATACCAACCAACTTTTTAGTAAAAACTTAACTTTTTATTCCACGCGTTAAATTGTGTAATAATTAAAATATGTAAGTTTTGAATAACTTATATTTTTTTTCTTTAAATAATTAATAACATACTTTCTCCGTTCTTTTTTAGTTGCGACATTCCCTTTTTCACGTTTTCCAACGCACAACTTTGACCATTATTATATTAATAATTAAAAATCAGATTATGAAACTTAGTAATGAGGCGAATTCAACAATATTTTTCAAAAAAAAATAATAATTCACATACAATAATAAATAAAATGTAGTCAAAGTAGAGTACATGAATAGTATATAAATTTCAATGTTGCAACTAATGCGATACGGAGGATAGTATAATTTAATATTTCCCCCCCTTATATTATCAGATTCAGCCGCTGTAGTAAGAATTTCATCAATTTCAGCCGCCAAACAGGTTCTAATTACAAAAGAATAGTAAATTGATTAACTAATTTCCTAGCTAACCTATTTGACTGAGTATTCTAACAGTATATATGACTTTGTAAAATACATTATCTCACTGTAAATAATTAATATATACTCTCATCTTTCCTTTTCGGTCCGTCCCACTAATATTGACCTATACCAAATTTGGTCAAATTTATGTGGTTCAAATCATTCTTACTTTATCAATTAAATATGAATTACATAAACCACTTTTCTTAATAACCGCACCACCTTCTCATGTTCCAATGTTAGTAGGGCGGAGGTAGTACTAAATAACTTTGACTTTCTACAGTACTTAACATGATAAGTACATCTTTGTGTGCTTAAGAGTTAAGACATGAATGGCAGGTCTTACACTTGATGAACAAGATGAATATCCCTGCTCCATTCCGGACTGCATTGCCCACTCCACCTCTGCCAATCCCAGCATCTTTCACTCCTCAACCTCCGCCACCTCCTCCTCCACCAACAGATAACGAAACTACAGCGGACAATTTGTTGAGCAGTGAATCCGAAATGGAGTCCTCTGATGAGGTAGGGTAATATTTTGGTATGACAGTATTTAATGTTTATATGTTGAGACTGGTCCCCAGAAACCCTCAGCGAGCACACATAAGATAACCTAGAGTGCTTTTATGGATCCCTATATGTCTCCCTTATGACTGGTGATGCCAATCATGCCATCTTAGCCCAGATGACTCCATAAGGGAGTCATATAGGGCTCCTTGAATTTTTTGAAGATAACCTCCAACAAGGGCCCCTATTTGAAATCAGTTAGGGAGCGCCTTTTTTGGAAAACAGAAGATGAAATTCTTTCCTGTGGTAGGAAGGTTTCTCAATGATAGAAAATACTTATCATGAAAATAAATATCTCTCGTAGGAGGGAAAGTGATTTCAATGCTTGGACATGGTTTTATTTCCCTAATTCATAAACTTTTTGTCTGGATGGCATTTTTACATATTAAATTTGATATTCAATGCAACTTTAACATCGAAATGTTTAAATGAATTTTCATGGAGTTTAATTCTACATTTTTATATTGATTCCAAACACTTCGTTTTGTTGAAATATTTACTTTCATAGTAATCATTTTCCTTTGAATGGAATCATTTTTGTCTAATTTTATTCACCAGGAAAATTCAAATGTCAATAAGAGTTAGTATAAGTTTCTGAGTATCAGATACTTATACCATTTGCAGAAAATGAAGTAGAACTTTTCGCAGTACAACACTGACTTCGATACACATAAACACACCCACAGTATATGTTTAGACTTTAGATACCTAGTTGGGAAACGGTTAAAAGGGCCACTTCAAAAGTTGGAGAAGATAGTTTAGAAGAATTTTTGTACGCTCTTGATAATGGTAGGGTAGGTCTATATTTTCTCTTTGATGCTGCAGCAGATTACCTAGATGAAAAATACTTGGACCATTCCACTACGAATAAATTCCTTTACTCGATTTTAGAGAATGTGACTCCAGGTACTGTAGGTCTCACACGTAAAATTTTTAAAGAGCTTTTACGCGACTCAGGACCACATCAAATTCTAAAGCACAAGCCACTAAAAGATCACCCTAGCTATAAGGAATCTCCTATTTACGAGGAAGGATGCATTTCTTGAACCAAACAAGAGGAAGATGATGGTTTCACTTCTGTTGTCTTCACGAGGGACAAAAAGACAAACGCCTCTTCGGCTCTTCGGTGAGGAATGTGCAATCTCTGCAGCAAACTAATCGGGCTTAGTACTTCCCCTTGACGCTTTTTTGGGAGTTCTCATGGGCTTTCTGATATGGAAATGGATTGCTCTGGAGTTTTCCATACCTTTAGGATTTTATATGGCTGGAAGCCTGGAATAAAGTCTCATCTCTCTTTAGTTCTTTTTATCTTTGGCTCTCTTTTATTAGTATTTTTATTTCACTTGCTCTTGTCTCTCATTATTGGTTTCATCCCCCTAGGATGTAATCTCATTAGCGATTGTGCTTTGACTTCTCTTTTATTTATAAAATTCTTTTTCTTAAAAAAAGAAAAAAAATGTTGAGATACTTATTCTCCAAAATCTAAAGAAAACATATTAGAACCACCACCATTCGCAGTGACAAATATCAACTCACCTTAATTTCTTCCTGGGTTTTTAACAAGATTGCCGATATTTATGAGTTCTTATTATTATTGGTGCGAATCAAGGAGATTCTTCCCTCATAGGAGAGCCTTTATCCTCTTACATTCATCTCTTTTGAGTGTGTGTTCTACTCTCTGTACCATAACTATTCTGACATTAATCTAGAGGGTTTTTGGAAGAGGGCATGATTTGTGCTGAGGGAGTGAGAGGTTGGTGTATGCCCAGTGACATAAATATTGGCATAGTTTAGATATCATCAATGTTTAAAATTGCGCAACGCCTTTACGCAATAAGGCGCACTTTAGAACTTTTGGGGATTTCAGGTTGCAAGGCTTAAACGCAAATAGGCAATTAAGAAGTCTGCGCCTTTTTTGCTAAGGCGTACGATAATTGCGTCCGCTATATAGCGGATGTTGGGGCGCGCCACAAATAACAGGCCAACTCTGCAGCCCAAATCCCCCAAACAAAAATTTATTTTAAAAATACTTGTCATCGTCTGTGAGTCGCAACCTCTGCAGACTAAACGACACCTACTTTCTTCTCTGTCGCATTTCTCTTTTGCAATCGTCTGTGTGCTTTCATCCTTCTTTTCTTCATGTATGGCCTGGTTGTCTACGTATTTTATTTATTTTAAATTGATGATTGATATAGGTAGTGGGCACTGGGCAGAATAATAAGTACTCCACATATAAGAGATTTCAGTGGATAAATTTTATATTACTTTATTAGCTTCTTTGTTAGATAGTGGATTGATATTATATTATTTTATTAACTTTTTTGTTAGTTAGTGGATGATTATTATACGAAGTACTACGCATTAGATAGTATTTTATTAGATAGTTTAATATTACTTTATTAGCTTATTTGTTAGTTAGTGGATGAATATTATATTATTTTATTAGTTTTTTTGTTAGATATACACCTTGCAGTCTGCAGAAAATATCTATATACATAGTGGATGCATATTCTTTTATTTTATTATGTTGTTTGTAAGTTATACACATAGTATTTTATTAGCTTCGTTATTAGAAAATATTTGTTTTGAATTATGTTCAAACATATTTTTGGATGGTTTATGATCTCAATTTTGTTGGTTTTCATCAAGACATTGGTTAACTTTAATCATCCTTTTACTTTAGATTAATTAAATAGGTTGTACTTTTTTTATATATATAAATTTGTTTAAAAGTTGAGGCGTAAGCCTCATTGCGCAATGAGGCTTACGCAATAGGCAATGCTATGAAACCGCCTCAAAGATGCAATACACAATTTTAAACCTTGGATATCATTTGGAGGCTGTATACTGTATAGTTGGTTTGTCTATGATTTCCCCATTTCACATCTTTGATTGTTTTTATCCTGAACTTGCATATTTTTAAATAAAATAGAAGAAGACGAATTATCATGATTTTGTAAATTCATATATCAGGAAACTCCTCCATGTGTCGGTGGCCCTAAAAGAAAGCGGATGAAGCAAGAAGCTATTGTTGGTCCTGCGGTGAACAAGGATGTGGCTCATGAGGCTGTTGGATTGAAACCTGGTGTTTTGCTCCCTAAAGAAATGCCAATGATAAAAAAGAAGAACTCTGTATTGCAGGTTATTGTGATGATTCTAAAATACATTATGTACTCCATTTTCTTTCCCTTGACTCAGAAATGATGGTAATTAGTTTTTATGTGCTTGCAGATCAAAATAGCACCTAAACAAGTTCACTCCGATCGGATGAATGATGATTGTACAAGAGAAGTACATGGGGAAGATGAGGAAAATTCAGATAATAAGCCTGTTCTGACTATTGAAGAATTGAAGAGTGGGAAATTGGTCCCTGAAGAAATTTTGTCACTTCCTGTGTTCAAGGTAGCTGATTTTGTTGCTGTACATGTTAAACTCATAAAATGTCATGCACATCATTTTCCGTACCAGATAAGTAATGGTAGATGTGGAAAGCTAAATAGTTCAACAACCGGATTATTGGTAATGTTAGCCTAAATGGTGTGCTACACTGCTACTACATGTGTTGCACAGAATTATTCTGTTGGGGATCCATCTAGGGTGTTGTACATCAAGAACTTGTCAAGGGATGTGATTACTGATGACTTCTACTTCATTTTTGGTCAGTAGAAAGCATCTATTCTCATGATTTTTTTCACATAACATGATATGCTCTAGATACCTTTTCACATTTTGTTCCAGTCCATCACGTGTTAAACAATCCACAGGATCCTTCTTTGAAAGTACTGATGCTGCTAGATCCAGTCTGACTGTGAAGTTAATGCAGGTGAGATTTTTTTTTCACTCAAGGAATTGTCTTTATAATGGGAAGTCAGTCATTTTTGTATGCCTATTTTTTAGTTGTATCACATTCAGTAGCAGCAAAAGGGCTATTGATATTCAAAACCTTGTAGTGTAGCAGTGTAGGTGGTTAAGTGGTTTACCAAGTTGTTGAGATTAATGTCTCTGAATACATGAGATTGAAGCATTGAATAAGTATAGAGTGTTCTTCGAGTAAAAAAAAGCAAGACAACAATGACAAGTGTGTAATAGGACTTGTACGGAAAGCTTGATGGGCCTGACCCATAGGCTTTTTAGCTGGGGATGTATGTTGGAAGTCTAGACTGATGCACTTGAGCTATGACCCGAATATTATTATGATGCCTTGAACCTTCTTTTGTCATAACTTCGTTTGGTCCCAAAAAGAGAAGGCTCTTGATTTTTTAAACCATTACTTAATGGTTGATGCCTCATTTCCTCTAGATTTTAATATCTTCTTATGTGTTGGTTTAGGGATTAAATTATCTTGTCCATCGGCGACACTGCTACACATGCGGCTTTTCAATTAATTGATTAGTAATTAATATTAGTGGTCATTATGGTGAGTATTTTCAGGATTAGTCGTTAAATCCCAATTTAGGTGATTGAACAAATGATACTTGAATTAAAAAGAAACATTGACAACATGAATTTGTTAAATAAATGTATGTTTAGTCACTCAAATAAATAAACTAATTAATTAAATAGGAAGACTTCATGTTTTCTTCATAGAGTTGTAATTTATAATTCGCAACAATACTATTTCTCATCAAAACTGACATAAGTATCATTCCATTGTTAAAACCCTACCTTTATCTTACTTTGAATAAATGCAACTTCTAAGTGAAGTATTGTACAAACTTTTTTAAAGTGAAAAGCGTTCAAAAGCGATGACCCCGAGCTTTGCTTCAAAGCGAAAGCGTTAAGCGAAGCGACGCTTTCTCACAAAAAGCGATGATTAAAAAAATTAAAGAAAATATAATATATAATGTATACTTATGTCATAAATGCATAAGTAGTCATAAACGTCAATCAAAATAATACTAGTTCAGCATAAAGTTTCAAAACATTCATCACAAAATCACACAAAAACACATAATTAATCATAAAAGTCATAAAGGAAATACTAGTGTGGCATAAAGAAAAAAAATTCATCACACAATTTCATAGTTTCATTAAAAACGGTTCTTAGAATCTTCCTCATTCCATCAACTCATCCTCCTCGTCATCAAACTGGTCTTGTTCTTCTTCGTCCATAAGTAAGGTATCAAAGTCCTCACTGTCATCATCATAGACTCCAGCATCCTCTTCATCTTCGTCCTCATCTTCATCAACGAGTCTACGGGTGGAGGCTTTCTCTTTTCCCTTAGACTTGGAACTTTCTGCTTTATCTTTCTCTTTAGAATTGCGTCTAAGAGAATACGGGGTATCATGTACACCAGAAAACTTTGCAACATCTCCCCAAGTCAAATCATCTCCATCACCAAAGACCAACTCTTCATTTGCATCGTCAACTTCACCGGTCAACCATTCATTTGCCATGTCTATGTAATCCAAGCAAATAGGATCTATAGAATCACGCATTTCCCAGCGACGCCTCAAAGCCCTATTGTACTTAACGAATACCAAATCATTGAGGCGGTTGTATTCTAGACGACTTCTCCTCTTCGAATGCAACTGTTAAGTAATTTAAATTTTTTCAGTTAGTCAAATGAATAGAAAAATTGAAATTCTTGGCTCTTGCATTACAATAACTATTCTTACATGCTCAAATACGCTCCAGTTCCTCTCACATCCCGATGCACTTGTTGTTAAGCTAAGAAGCTTAATTGCAAATTCCTTTAAATGGGGAGCACTGGCACCGAAAGATGTCCACCAATCAACTATAAAATGAATTTAAAATGTTAGAGTCACTCTAAATTGTAATACATTTTTTAAAATAATATTAATTAATGAATAGATATTAACCTGGGGGTTTAACGCCGCGTTGCTTCTTCGCAAATGAACTGCTAAATAGTCCTCGTCTTAATTCCCAAATGGACACTTCATTAACAATTTTGGCTTGAAGATCTTCATTTGGAACCAACCTCTCCAAACATTCATAAAACCCACTCACCACTTCAGCTGAATTTATGGTAGAAGATACTTCTAACTCGCCTGGAAATCGAAAGAAATCCGGATTCAAGAAGAAGGCAGCTGCGTGCAATGGCTGACGAAGTTGCGAAGTCCATCTCGTGTCTATTATGTCAAACACTTTCTTGAACTTGGATTGGTTGTTATTAAAGGCTCTGGCTATTGCTGCTTTTGTCAACTCCATCGCAGGATAGACATATCCCATAGCCGGCTTGACATCTCCATCAACCATTCGAAGGGTTGACATAAGTGGTCCTCCAACTTTCAGTGCCTCATGAAGTGTGTTCCAAAAGGAGGGCATCTGAACAATTCTACCACACTCCTTTGCAGCCTCTTCTTTGGAATAGTTGCTCGTTAGGAACTCCTCACAATTGAAAAGCTTGATCAACTTATTCTTGTGCTCCTTTAACCTCTTGAATGTCAAGAAGGTTGTGGCAAATCGTGTCTTAGCGAACTTCACCAACTCTCTCTTTCCGGTGAATTTCCTAAACAAGTTCAGCAGTTTTGTTTTTGAATGGATGTAAACCGACAACTTCAGAGCTCTTTTGTAGGTTGTCTGAAAGTGCTTAAGCTCAAATATGTCTTTGAACATCAAATTAATGCAATGAGCAGCACATGGTGTCCAATAAATTGTCGGGTACTTCTCCATTAAATCTTTGCCTAAACGAAAAGAAAATGAAAAAAACAATTAAATTCAATTAAATTATATATTAGACTATTAGAAATTATGAGTTTACGTATAAAATAAACTTACCAGCTTTGACATTTTCAGAAGCGTTATCTGAAATAACTTGAACAACATTTTCTCCTCCAACTCTGTTCACAAAGAGTTCAAAGAGCTCAAGCATCTTCTCTCCATTCACAGTGTCCAAACTTACTTCAACTGATTGGATAATATAAGATCCAAGTGAACAATTCACTAACACATTGATATAAGCGCGATTCCTTCTATCAGTCCACTTATCCATCATCAATGAGCAACCGTACTGCTTGCAAATATCCTCATGTGGTTTAAAAAGCTCTTTCACATGCTCTACTTCCTTTTTAAGATATGGCACTCGAACTTCATGGTATGTAGGAGCTTTCATTCCGGGTCCATGTTGTGCCACAGCATCAATGAAACTTTGTAATGTCTTGTAATTGACACAGTTAAAGGGCAATCCAGCTTCATACATCCATCGTGAAAACGCGCCAACAACTTTTTCCTGCAATTGTTTTTTGCAAGTTGCTATAGTTACTTCTGCCCCTCTAGCTCGTTTCAAAGTTTCATGTTCTTTTGAAGTTGTTTTGAAATACAAATTCATGGGGCCTTTGATCGATGATGTGTGGCTCGTACCATCTACAGACTCCATCTCCTCAACATCATCATCATCAAAATCATGACTTGAAAGGTTCTCTTTCATAGCTTCCTTTCTTTGACTTTTGTTGTCAAGAAGCTCTTTCATGGCAACTTTGACTTCTTGAGGACACTTTTGACATGCCTTAACACTTTTAAAGCCACCAACAAGGTGTTGTTTGTGACGGTATATACCTCCACTGGTAATTTTGTCACAATAAATGCACTGAACATGCGTGTTGTCATCTTGTTTGACTCTTAATCCATGCTCCCATGCTGGATCCTCACTTTTAGATTGTGGTCTATACATTTTTTTTCTACAAGAGTGCATAAACAAGTGTAAATATTTATATATTATTTTACGTTAACTAATATATACTGTCTTAAGCAAAAGTAAATAACTGTATTTATCCCTTAACATGACAAAGAGGAGAATATGGCTGCACAAATACAAGGTCACACACATCGAGTAATTTTTACAGGGGAGATTGGGAGATTATCAGAAGAATGAACTAGAATGAAATAATAAGTAATAGCAGACTATAAGAAAATTTCTTCTAAACTGGAAATAGTTCCAGAATCGGCAGAGCTGCAATTAAACTGCAATTAACTAGTTTCTAAAACAAATAATAAAATCACACACAAGGCTGGCAGAAGCCGCAGAACAGAAATTAAGCTCCACAATCGGCAGAAAGGGCGAGATGATTAGAAGAAAGAACCAATGAGTAATAGGCTAATAGCAGACTAAGAGAAATACCTCAGTCCTCAGCAGCTGGAAGAACCGAAGAAGAAAGGAGAATCTCAGTCTTCAGCGGCTCAGCAGATTGGCGTCGTTCCTGGTTGTCGCGGCTCTGAAGAAGAATACCTGGAGTCTTCGGCTCAGCAGATTGGCGTCGTTACGAATGGAAACTATCCTAATTCGTAACCCTAAGTAAACTAAAACTAAAAAAAAACTTAGGCTCAACTTTGACCTACCCGTCGCTTTTTGTGAGAGGCGATCAAAAGCGCTCGCTTTTTGCGCAGCGACGCCTCAAGGAAAGGCGGAAGAAAGCGTCGCTTTCTTACAGGGGTGCGCTTCTGTAAAGCTTAGCGATAGGCCATCGCTCGCCTACGCTTCTCGCTTTTTGTCGCTTTATTTCGCTTTTAATAAGTTTGGTATTGTATGGGATGTATAGAATAATACTCCCTCCGTTCTCCATTAGTTGTCCTTATAGGGTTTGACACAAGTTTTAAGAGGAAAATAATAGGCGTAATTTAAAAGGTGTAGTGGGTTGTATTTAAATGAAAAAGTAGGAAAGAGAATGAAAACTAGGAAAGAGAATGAGGGTAAATGTATATATTTATTGAAAAAACTTTCCAAAAATGGAAAGAGAGACAAATATTAGAAAACAACCCAAAATGGAAAGAGGGACAAGTATTAGAGAACAGAGGGAGTATAAAATATCTTTAGTGTCTCAGTCTAGATCTGAATTGCGAGTTGCGCCTATATAAAGATTGTGACCGCTCCATGGTTGTTCTCTATCTTGTTATTTTCTTCAACGAATTTCCAATGCTTTGGTGGACTGAAATATATTATCACCAAATGAGATAATAAATAATGGTGTGAAGTTGTGAACCACCCTAATAGGCAATAGCATTAAGCTCATTGGAGTATTGGACAAAGACATGTGTGAAGCTGTGAAGAAGCTCTGTATAGACTTTTTGCATCTAGAAAATGGGAATAAGCTTTATATGAAATATAAAAGGTTATTGAACATGAACTTTAAAGTTATAATAAAATGCATGGAATATGATATACATTCATATTATGACAACTAAAAATGAAACAGTTTAGGGAAGTTAATAAGAAAAAAGAGCTGGTGATATGCTGAGTGCTACATATAGAGAAAACAAGAGGCAAATCATGTGATTGACTAAGTGTACTAACCCTTTTAATATCTTAAGATTCGGGGTTTCATTCCAGAATGTCAACTTGATAGCAAGAGTAGTCGAAGGCTATGTTTGAAAAAACAAGATGAAGTTGGAATCTATTGTCTAATTAAGAGACTATTGTATGGGGCTAGATAGAAGTTGTTGAAACTGAAATGCTATCTGAATGAAATAGATTTGTTTGACAACACAACTGAAATAACAACAGAAAAATGTAAAGTTACCTTAATAATGAATGTTTTAATATAAACAAGATAAAATTTGAATTTTGGGAGATTAAAGTCAACATAAGCTTGCGATGAGTTAACGGGCTAACCTGAAATGCTACAATTTGTAATGTTTCAAATCAGCTGATTAGTTTTAGGTCAGGTCAAGATCAACCCTTCATCCAAACAAGGCTAAATGCCAATTGTTAAGATTGATCAAGTTTCAGCTCATTTTGAGCTGAAGTGGTCATCCAACATAGCCTAATACTCTAATGTCTTACACAGTACTACCTCCATTATTAAATAATTGCAACATTTTAAATTTTAGACTATTCTCATGCTCTAATTTGATTAGATTTATGTAGCAATGTATGTGATTTTTTTTTTTGAAAATATTGTTAAACTTGTCTCATTACAAATTTTCAAAATCTGAATTTTTAAACTTTTTACTAATAGAGAATTCAATATATTGACGATCAAAGTTGTCCATTGGCAAATTTGAAAATGGGAGTGTTGCAACTAAAAAGGAACAGAGGGAATATATATTAATTTGTTAATTGTTATATTTTACCCAAGTAGACAAAAACTAACATATTGCACTGCACAAAACTTGATAACAATGCTTACAACTTTTTGAATGCTTACTTAGGAAGGAAGAATGCGTGGTCAAGCTTTTATTACATTCCCAACAGTTGAACTAGCTCAAAATGCATTGGTATGTCTTCTGAATTTAATTGAGTCTTTTTTCCTACATGTATTAAGCTATGGTTCTTTGATGGTCTTTTTATTGTTATTTTACGTTTCTGAATTTTGAGCTGTAAACTTTGTTGTGAACTTTGATGGTCTTTGTATTCTTTTTCCTACTTGGTGTTGTGCAACATTTCAAACAAACCAATGATATGTGATGTATAGTCAGGGTCACATTGTATATATCCTTGGCTAATTATCTATTAGTAGTTTAATACAATGCTACAATGCTACTTTAGAATTTAGATTCCTTGTACTTGGTTGAGAAGGAAATGGTAAAGGGGTGTGTTTGGATGTATGGTTTATGATGGTCTTGGGTAGGAGGACTCAGTTATCCCGTTTACCAGACATTTTTTTTTGGATTTTTTCCACAAATGATTGGTCATACTATTGCAATCCGTAATGGGAAAGAGCATCTGCTTATTTATACTCCGTATAATGGATCAAGGTCGGACACAAATCCGGAGAATTCACAGCAACTTTAAGTTTCTGAGGACATGCAAAAAGTCATAATTCATCTGGTCGGTAATTTTTTGTTTATACTAAACATAATTTGATGCTTATCCGTTCAATTTTTGTAAAAATATCAAACAGAACTACCAAGATATAGGCTTAGCCCTCCTACACCCTCCATTCACCCTTAGTTACTGATTTCACATGGGATGCTAGTTTTCGTCATTACATGCAGTGTATGAAGTACTTTCAACAGCGATGGCATTTTTAATGAGCAGAACATGCAAAATTGTGAGCAAATTATACAGCTGATGATTAGCAAAAATCTATGATATTCCTAAAAGAATGTCGGTATATTTGTGTTTTGATGGTTCTGGAATTTTCTGTCAATAAGATTCTTGCACATCTTCAACTGTTCTCTTAACTTTTGTTGTCAATTAATTAAGCACTAATTGTAGTGTTTGTTGAACTATTCCTAATGCTTATAGAGAATAATAATAACTGCAGAACCTGGTGAATGGGTACGTGTTTAAAGGCAAGCCCATTGTCATTCAGTTCGGGCGTAACACTGCTGCCAGTACCAGCTAGTTGGACAGGGGACACTACTATTTTATTCTGAGAGAAATTTAAATTACGACACTCAAAACTTCATTATGAGGTACACATCTCAGCCATGACCGACTTTGCATTTAGTGGTGGTGGTGACGGTGACAGTGACTCTGACAATGACTCATAGTTGCTTCCCTACATATAGGGCACTTTATGTTTTAAGCCCACATAATTTTTTGGTTATCTATCCTTGTAATTTACGTTACTTTCTTTTTTAATCCCTATTCATCAACATTCGTTTTTAAAAATAACTGAAGTGATTAAGAGAAGCTTCGTCAAGCCTTTCCTCAGCCAATTTTAAATGATGCTTAATATTTTATGTCCATATCATTCCATCTTTCTTTAACTCGTAGAGTGACTATAATGGGAATTAGGGTGAAAGGGTACTCACAACACCTACTCTCGGTCTGGCTTTGGTCATAAAATATTAAGCATTTAAAAAACAATTGGGACTTTCTGCATGCCTCGTGTTTTAAATGGTTGTTGATGGAGAGGGGCTAAAAACAAAGTGATGTAAATTGTATGGTTGAGTAACAAAACCTAAAAATTGCAGTTAAATGGTGTTTCAAGGGAATTAAAACATAAAAATGTTACATTTCTAGGGACAAAAACATATTTAAGCCTATTAACAATAATTGCAGTTAATGTCATAAAATCATTTGCAATTGTAGGGGTTACTCAAGCAAGCTTCCGTACATAGTTGAAGAGACAATGGCAATGTGTATAGTTGTTCATATGCTTGCCTAAGAAGCATTATTCTGTTAAATGTTTTTTGGCGTCTAAATCAACATTTGTGTATATATCAACCTTGTTTATAGACTATGATCCAACGTTTTGTGTTAGGCTTGGGGATATCACTTCTACACCTTGAAATGGCTAGTGAGTGTCATTATTACTCCTTGATCCACATTGTAATGTAGACAATGGTTTTATTTATAATTTTCAATGAAGGTAGAGATGCAGCAAAATAATAATAATATGACACAAGGTTAAGGAGAGTGTAAAGAATAAATTGATACTGCAATCAGGGCCGGCCCAGGGGGTGTGCAGGGTGCCCGACCGAACAGGGCCCAAAAATATGGAAGGCCCAAAAAAATAAATTAGTAGTAGTATTACTACTAGTCTACTGCTCCGTATAAGCTAGTCAGCCCAATAGCGAAGAAAAAGGTGCGGGACGAGCATAACAGTCTGCGAAAGAGGAAGCTCATAGCCCAAAGGGCATAACGAGTGACTGAGCGAGACGAGCGACGTGCGGACGACTCTCCGTCTCCAGGCTCTGCTCCAGCCTCGAGCCATCCTGATTTCTAAGTTGCTGCGGCGATTCGGACACATCTAGGACGGAAGGACTCCACTATTCTAGGTATATAAATTCGTAACAAATAGAGAGTAATGGTTCTTTATGAATTAATTTTGTAATCTGAGTTCAACAAAATGATATTAATAGGTTCTTAGGCTGTTAAATTTGTTTTTGTTTCACTATATAACTTTATACGTAAATAAATTTTTTTCTTGGATTTATTACTGCTAGTTAATACTAGCAACTTCTTTTTTGAAATAATTTTTTAATAAATTACAACTACTCCGTATTAACAATTTACCATTTCAATTGAAATAGCATTTCTATTAACGATAGAAAAGAAAGGCCTGATTTTTGTTGTTGCACAGGGCCCTCGTTTTCTCGGGACCGGCCCTGGCTGCAATGGCGGTTGTTTTCCTCTGTTTCTTGAGTAGGATTTTCGGAAGTGCTTTTCGGCAAGGGTAGGTTTTTGGTGATTTCAATATTGGAGCACGATGATGGTAGATTATCATGACTTGGAGGATTTGCATGGGACGTTGCAAATTCGATGTTTCAATTGCGGTGAAGTGTGAAGACTTGATGTTTCAATTCGATGGTTTATTCTCCTCCTAAACCATCATATTTGGGGATGGGATAGGTTAAGAGGATGGTTTCAGGGTAAAGAGACAGGAATTTCTGTTCATGGTGTCTTGGAGCCTTGGAGGTATTCAGAGAGGTTGAAATCAAAGAGGGGTTGTGGCATGAGAAGTGTGGGTTCATGGTTGGTTATGTGGTATTGTGACCTTTATGGGTGTGCTAAAAAAATTCCGGAGGAGACTATTGTGAACTGGCAATTTGGATCATTTCCTTGTGAAATGAGGAACTAACTTGATTGGTGGTTGTTTAATTGGTGTATTATATTCTCATTTGTCTAAAAGTATGTCTATTATCCCCATGACGATTTCTGTCGTTCTTTGTAGGGCTGGACTAGTCATGGACCCGGGCCGGTTCCGGTTCCGGGCCGGGCCCGGCTGGGCTTTTTTTTTTGGGAAGGAAGGCCCGGGACCGGCCCGGGTAGCCACCGGGTCCGGTCCGGGTCCGGGCCGGGCCTCCGGTTCGGTTATATTTTTTTTTTTTTTTTGCTTTCCTAACCCCCCCACCCCCCCCCCCCCAACCCCCAAACCCCTCCTAACCATCAAGCCCAACCCAACTAACCCCAAAAAATGAAAAAAAAATAAAAAAAAAAAATCAATTCGGCCCGGGCCCGGGCCCGACCCGCCGCCGGGCCGGTTTGCCAAATACTAGGCCCGAGCCCGGACCCGCCCCCCCCCCACCGGGCCTAGGCCCGACCCGGACCCAGACCCGAGAACCGGGCCGGTTCCGGGCCCGCACAGTGGCGGGCCGGGCGGCCCGAACCGGGTCCATGCCTAGGCTGGACACGAGCCTGTTTTGGACCCGGATCGGTCAGCCCTACCGAAAATATTATGAGGCTCGGGATCAGAACTTCTAAAGTCTAAACCTCTATTTGAGGTTCTGATTTTGGTCCGTTTTATTTTTCTTTCCAAAAAATAACTTGTTTATTGTAAGTTTAAACATGTATGGATTACAATTTATAATGTCATGACATATTTATTATAATTGTTTAAATAGAATTGCAGCAATGAAGTAAATAGATTTAGACATTATTTCAATTTTCAAAATGTTACAAATATAAGTAAACATTTAATTAGTACTACCTCCGTTCCTAAAACTCCTTCCCAGTTTGACTTGACACACCTATTAAGAAAGTGGAATAAAGTGGAAATGTATGATTGTGGTTGTGTAAGAAAATGTAAAATGAATGTGAGTTACACAAATTGTCCAAAAAGGGAAAGTGAGAAGTACTTTTGTGAACGGATCAAAAAGGAAAGTAGGGAGTATTTAAAGGAAAGTAGGGAGTATTTTTGGGAAGTAGGTAGTACAATATTACAATGTTAGGCATAAAGCTTTATTGAATTTGAAAACGGTACATTACATTTGATTTTTTAAAAAAAAAATACGAACACATATTCATTATTGATGACTTGGTGTGATGATTCTTGAGTGTTGAGTGTTTCGTACTTTCGTAGGGAATTGTTTACATAGCATATCATAATTGTGCTTTTTGGCTTTTCAAGACAAAATCATTCGTCAATCAAAGCATTAGGCACCGAAAAGGCGAAAAGGTTATTTGAAGCGTTTTTAATGACAGAGTAGTGGGTTTAAATTACAGCACAATTAGTGAAAGATAATTCTATAGGGGTGTTTGGTAATTGGTAGGATGTAAAATAATTACTTTGCATGCGAAGTGTAAGGACGTAAAATATTTACACTGTTTGGTTTGATTATTTAATGCAAACTGTAAGGTACTTTTTTAAAACATTTGACACTGTAAAGGTACTTTTGTTTCATAAAAGCCTTTTATGAAACACTGAAACGACTTTGCGTGCAATTTAAAAATAAATTACACATCTAGCACAATGTATTCCTTTTTGCACGCAAAATGATCGCTTCCCTATAATTTGTATGCAATCACTTTGCGTGCAAAGATTTAACGTGTAATCGAACAAACAAGCCCTATGAATAATGAAGAATATTAAATATAGATTTAAGAATGTGTCCAACATAATTAATTATATAATGGTCGAATATTAGAGATACAGAGAATATAATAGAGAACTTATAGATTGATGAAGATGAGAGAACTGAAGATTGAAAGTAGTCATGGACTCAACTGGTTCCGGGCCCGGGTCGGGCCTAGGCCCGGCCGGGCCAAAAAAAACTGTTAGGCCCGGGACCGGCCCGGAAGTAGACCGGTGCCGGTCCGGGCCGGGTCTGGTTATATATTTTTTTACTTGATTATTTTTGTCTCCTACCCCCCATCCCACAAACCCATGTGATAGACCCATTCCAGCCCATTTAAACCCAGCCCAAAGCCCCAAATGTCTCGGGCCAAGGCGGGTCATTGCGGGTTTTTTATCATTCTTACCAGTCAACTTTTTCACCAAACAAATTTTGATTTCACGGGCTAAGTTGTGTAATAATAGAAAACATAAGATTAAAGTTACTTTTCTAGATGAATTGATTGAAGTTATGGTAAAGGATTAATTTAACTACTTTTTTATATATTTTTTCTTTACTTTATTAATAAAATATATAAGTATTTTAAATACAAATTTTTCATAATTCAATAGAACCAATCAATCCAATCACTTTAGTCAGAACTTCATAAATTTCATCAAAATCAGCCGGTCCAGTCCATTTCAGCGTTACCAAACGGGCTCGAAGTGTTAGCTTTGGTTAAGTTTGCACTTGATAATAAAAATATAATAAACACAACGGTTGAATACACTTTGTTGATTATCATACATTTTCACCTCCAAGAACCAAAATCAATAGATTGAAGTGAAATATGACCTAGAAAGAGATCTCTCAGATGATGATCACACAGCCCGAATCGCCTTCTATGTAAACTTGGATGTATACAGCTCGAAAACCCCGTCTTCCAACCAGGAAACTTCTGTCTTTCCATCACATGAAGAGAATAAACACACGGAGCAGCAGCCTTACATCCCATAACAAAACAGCCACATGGCCGGGACCCACTAACCGTTCTCGCCAAAGACACTAAGCATGCCCCACTGTATGCCGTCCAGTACATCAAGGAATCATCGTTATCTGCAGTCTGGGACGCTAATGCTTCATTTGTCAGCTCAAACTCATCATCACTTGGGGGGATTCTGCTCAGTTCTGAATCAAACTTCTTCTCAATCACCTTCTCATGTATTCTGTACTTGGCCGCCAGTGTTCTCACGCAAGACATCCTTAGTTGGTCACACACAACAACCTTCATTTCATTAAAGTTGTCAAACTGGCTATACCATCTGAGTAGTCGTGCGGCTATACCCGAAAACCAATCAATAATGTGATTAAGGTCAAGAAAAACGAGAACATGGCATGTACGAGGAAACCCGTCAGCATTCGTCAACCCATATCTATACAAACGTTTCCTAATGACGTTGATGGGGGCTAAAATTTGGGTTTTAAATGGAGAAGCTGTATTGGGGAGCAGAGCAAGAGTAGCAGATGTTTCTGAAGAAACATATCTGTCGACGCAGTTCTGGAACTCATAGTAGGAATCTCTTAGATCTTGAGGGAGGGAAGGTTCTGTCATGTGTTTGGATAAGATGAAGTCCACACTTTCTGCATTCATCATATCTTGGATCCAGACTTTCAGTAAGACTTTAAACCAGTGATCAGTTTTCATTCCAGATTTACGGTAACAGGAAATTTCACTTAAAAGAGAATTACTGTCCACTAAATGTTTGATCTCAGATTCTTTAACCTTCTTCAGTGCGTGGGCCAGACATTTCTTGCCAATCCTAACGGTTCCCCCACCCCATGCCTCTTGTTTCTGAGAAGCAAATAGCTTTACCTTTTCCTTCAACTTGTGAACTGCTTTCACCGCAGGAATCTCTATCGGGCTTCTTTTGACCAAACAGCCAAGGAACCGAATCCCAGCGGGACCATCACATGGAAGAATATCTATATTGTCATCAACTTCCACGTGGAGAGAGTTTTCCAAGAAACCTTGAACCTCAGACTTCAAACAAGCTGCAACTTCTTTGCTACCGGAGACCGCGACAAGAATCTCATCCATGAAACGACAACTCTGTACCCTTATACCAGAATATCCCTCAGTAGAGTCACTGTCATTCATTTGCCTCTTAAACCAGTCGCGCAGTTTAGACTGTGCGCCGTCTCCTTTGGCCTTCAGTCCGGATTTGTCATCAAGGGCTTCATACCTCATTGACATTCTGTACATTTCTCGGTCTAAGAGGTCAAGATATATATTCATCAATATTGGAGACAAGATTCCCTCTTGCGGGAGACCGTGCCCTTTAGGGAACCCACCAAATTCTAGATTCAGAACCTGGCAGTCAAACATGGTACGAATCACATCGTATAGCATGAGGTCCTCGATCTTGTCTTCCATGATAGAAAAGAGTTTGGTGAGGACAAGGTCGTCAAGCTTTTTGCTCAAGGGTAACCTGAACCACCAGTTGGCATTCTTCATATCCTTGCAGATGTATCTAAGAGCAGACACATGACTTCTTCCACTTCTACACCCGTGCGAGATCTTGGAGAAGTTTGGTCTGTAAACAACTTCCAGTGCTATTCTAATAGCTTCTTGAACAACTTTGAGCTTCACATTAGGGAGTACGAGTATGTCTTTCTTGGGGCCCCTAGTTGCAATAGAATATGTGTTAGCACTTATGTCAAAATGCCCGCAAGATAACTCTTCAGCCATGGATTCAAATGGCAAGTCAACTCCACCCAAGGCTATATCAACATTACAGTCCGCCCTTATACAATCATAAGCATCCTGTAACGTCTCTGGACTACTAATAAGTTTCACCATTAGGTCCTTATACTTCCCATTCACGTACAGTTCCTTCACCTTCTTCTTTGTTTTCCGCTCCAGAAACCTCTTCCACTCCATCCTAGACATTTGTTTTGTATCCTTAACTGTGGAGGTCTCCTCAACCAAGCTGGCCAGGTTCTGAGCTAAAGATACACTGGGATTTCTATTCCCCATAACTGAAGATTCCTCAACCAATGAGGCTAAACCCGTTGCCAAACTGCTATAATCCCTGCTGTGATTGTTAGCAAAATCTTCTTTTACGGTTGAAACAAATGAGGCACATAAAAATCTTTTGATAGGATTCCCTGCTGGGGCAGAGCGAAACTATAATATTAGTGGTGTCAAGACTCAAGTAGTACTACAAATATCACTATATATGAAGAAATATAATAATAACCAATATATGACTACAAATAAGATAATGAATAAAAATGATTCTTTTTAATATGCTGTGACAATGGTAATAATTATAATGACCATGACTTTGTTCAATCTTACACTACGACAGTATACACATAGTAAGTGTACTCATTTTTTGTCCATAGGTATTATTTCAGTATTAATTTTATGAAAACCCTCATATATATATAACTAAATATATATTTGAATACCTTAATTAATAAGCGAGACCCTTTTTATATTCTCCATGAAAAGCTTAGAGTATTGTTTATTAAGTTCACTTGTTCAATTTTATTCATCCAATGTTAATCTCATTTGTAATATTCATCCATTAACTACACAAATTACTCAAAGCCTACGAAATCAATAAGTAGTAGTAGCAATGAAACCATTTTACTCATTCCTTTAAAGTTTTTCTCAAAATATTAATTTTAAAAAAGAAATTATGGATTTATATTATACGTAGTATGACTTTCTAAATATATCATGACAACATGGTTTCTTATTTTCTAAACATTTATGTCAATCAAACTTGGGAAAAAATATAGAGATAGAGGGAGTTGAATTTATACATTGATCACAATTCTATAAAAAATGTGGTTTTTAAAACTTTCACTCTTTCTTGGACTGAAGTATTTAAGATAGTATAAATAAAATTTATTTACTAAACAAAAAAGATGATTTTATTTATTTACAAGAACTTCTTTATGATAACAGATAATAGAGTAAACTTGAAAGTAATTAGGTCGAAACCTATGATGATGCGGCCAATAATTCCAGGTTAGGCCGTTAGACTTGGATTTAGATCCCCTACCTTATGGAAGGGTAACATACCTAGGAGTGGGACTTTGGAATCAAGAACCGGAGAACCGAACCGTTATGACCTGGTTCAGTTCGGTTCCAACATTTATTAGTTATTTCTTAACGATTCGGTTCCTGTTTTTTATTAACGGTTCGGTTCTCGGTTTCTGAAAAAAATATGTATCAGAAACCATTAAGGAACCGTTATATATATTAATTAAAATTAAATATATATCTTATAAATATATATATTTTAATGTATATTTATTTTTGTATTACACTCTTTAGTTTAGTTATTTAACAATTTAAAACTATTATTCACTTCAACCGGTTCTCTTAGGCCTCTCATTATGTCCAGACTCAGCGGGTCGGGACTCGGAAGGTCCAAACTATTTAAAATTATTATTCTCTTTAACTGGTTCAACATATTTGTATTGTAATTTCAAACGTTGAATGTCTTTTTAGCAAAAACTTAGTCGTGATTTGTAAGATTTTTTTCAAAGACTAGGAACCGTTAAATGACAAGAACCGAACTGTTAAGAACGGTTCGGTTCCTTATCGATTCTATAAAATAATTTATAAGAACCGAACCGTAAGTAAATTTTCATATTTTCAAACGGTTCCACATATTTTGCCTAAGAACCGAACCGGTCCCGGCCTAACCTTACCCAAAAAGAGGACAATGATTAAAATAAAGGCTTCGAAATTTGTGCGCAAAATGGACTCACGCACTCATCTTATACCATTTATTTTTTTCATCAATGGTTCAAAATGGCCTGAATTTGGGGGTGGGTAAGTAGAAACAATGAAGGCAATTTTATTAAGGCTCGTAGCAGGAGTGCAAAAGCTTCATGGTCTTCCGATCCTCCAGTGGAAGTGCTCCGTAGAAGCTTTGGAAGTGGAAACTATTTTTTTGGCGAGAGATATGGGTGACGTCAGGTTATTGTTGAAACAGATGCGGCCTTAGTGGTATCGCGGATTGAAGGAGATCGAGATGCTTCTCAAGTTGGTCTGTTTTTTTGATGATATAAAATCTCTTTTGAGTGAAGATGTCAATCTAAAAGTCACGTGCATGGTGTGGGAGATCAGCAAATCAAGTAGCTTATGCTATAGGAAGAATGGTTGTTTCTAAATCCAATGGTGTTTCTAGCTTTCCTAGGGGTCTGTTTGAAACAGTTTCTGCTTTTAAAAAGTGCTTTTTTTATTGAAATGAGGAGAAGTGATTAAATAAAAGTTGATAGTGTTTGAGAAAAAGTGATTTTGAAAAGTAAAAGTGGGTAGTGTTGGATAAAATAAGTGTTTTTTGTGTAATAGAAAAAGTAAAAGCACTTTTGACGCGGAAGCCGAGAAAAATAAAAGTTGTAGTGTTTGGGAAAATAAGTGTTTTTTAAAGCCAAAAGCTGATAAGTGTTTTTATAAAAGGAGTTGCAAACCAACCTCTAGTCTGTCTTCATTTATTCTAAGCCAAATCAGCACACGAATTATTAATATAATGTTAACGCTTTTTTCTCAATGTTCAATATTCTCTTTAAGAGAACTTTCAACTTTCATTATTTGTGTGTGTCAAAATAAATTCTTCATTTTCATAAAAAGTAACTTTTCAATAGAAATATTAAAACTCCTACTCTGTCCCGCTAAGATTATTATATCTCTTTTTTTTGTCTCACTAAAATTATTTCATATTAAATTTGATAAAGTTTATATAATTTTAAATCAATTTTATTTATCAGTTAATAGCAAACAAATAAATTCATTTTTTAATAATTATACCACTTCCTCATTTTCCAATGCCAGTGAATAATGTAGTTTATTTTTTACTTAACTTGTTTTAATGAATACTTACTTTTATAAACACATTTGTATTCATCATAAAGGTAAAAAAAATTATAATTCACCATTGCTGAACTATGGATTGTGTCCTAATTTTATGCATGTAATTTAATACTTCTTCCGGTTTTTAATAAACTTCACACTTTCCTTTTTGAGACGGTCTAAAATAAACTTCACGCTTCCTTATTTCCTTTTTTGGCTAAGAAATCTACATCAAAACAGTGCCAAACAGTGTCTAAACAGTGCCAAACAGTGTCTCAACAGTGTATTCTACAGTAAAGTCAAATTTCTTTCCTTATTTTGTGTGAAGTCAAAGTGTGAAGATTAAATAAAACTGGAGGGAGTACAAATTTTTTTATTGAACTTTATATGAGTTCATGAAGTCCCGCTAAGATTGTCTCATTTTACCTTTTTAGAAAGTCCACTAAGATTGTCCAATATCATATTTGATAAAAATTGTGTGGTTCTAAATCATTCTAACTTTATTCTTACTTTATCAATTTAATATCAAACACACAAACCTACTTTTCTTAATAATCGTATCACTTTCTCTCGTCTCAATCTTTTGGATGGAGGTAGTATCATGGAGTTTTATCCCTCTACATTCATGGACGGATCCATGTAGGGGCAAGGGTGGGCTTTAGCCCAGCCTAGCCTAACATATTTTTATTAGTATAGAAAGAGACTTAATTTCCAGCCCGTCCCAAAACTGATATTCAGCCCAGCCCAAACTTAATAGAAAGTTTTCTAAGAAGCTCTAAAAGAGCTAACGTGGTGTGTAAGCCGTAAGTGCGTAACCATGGGCTTGTGGCAACTCAACTCAAAGAGTAATTTATTTATAGGGCAATTAGAAGGGTTAACCATCCTTGCAGGCGGTGTGGGAAAAAAATTGAGAAGAGGAAAACTTTACATACGGAATTATGGAGGAGTATTACATTGGGAGTCTACTATGCAATCCCATCTCACCCACTCACCCACACAATCAATCAAAGATAGCACTTTATATTACAAGTTTACAACATTATTTTACAACATGATTTTATGATTAATATTATATTATTATATTATTGTTACTATTATATTAATACTATTATTATTATTATTACTTCTACTATTATCATGAGTTTTTTCTAATATATTACTGACATCAAATATTGATATTTTTTTACCCAAGTCACTATGAGTAACTTTTATAAGCATTCTAATTGTAAAATGTAAACATAATTATAATCATTAAAATAACTACTTCGCTTTTTATCCAATATCCTTATTTGGTCATATACTATTTCTGTTGTTGTTATTACTAGTACTATTATTATTACTATTATTTTTATATTAATATTATTATTACGCATTTTCTATCATCCAGTTCATTATATAGTTCTAATTTTTGCAAAACAAGAATAGGCATAACTACTATTTGTGATTTTTAGTGTTCTAGAAATATACTTTTGTTTCAAAGCGACTAAAAAGCACGAAGTCAGAAGGACTAAACTCAATAAAACGATGAAGACTTGAAATTATGAGCATGGGGCCCAGTCGCATCGTCACCTCGTCACCTGCCGTTCTGTCCCCTACGTCCGTTGTCTATATTTGTTTATGCCCGAACTCGAATTGAATAAAATAGATGTATCAATTCTCTTGTTTTAGTGTTTAAATAGATTTATAAAATTGCACAAAAAATGACTAAATTTTAAGATAAATAAAAATTATCCCTATAATTTATGAGTTATCGACAGGCTCGAGTCTGGATCGAACCGAATATGACTATGCTCGAACTCGGCTTGAATAACTATTCGAACTCAATATCTAGCTCGTGTTCGAGTTCAAAAAAGCTCGTTAAGCTCGGGTCATTAAATTAAATTCTAAACCACGCTCGAAGTCGAGTAGTTCGAAAAAAGCTCGAATCCATAACCGCCCTAAGCTGAACTTTTTACTTGCAAAAACAATTTTTTCTACTTAGCCCACCCCACTCTTCATTCCTGGATCAGCCCCTGCTCTACATCTCCCTACTCATCCTAAATTTGAACCCACAGACACCTAAGGTCCCTCTAATCTCCTTTGGTATCGTCTGAAAATGAGGATTATATATTACGGAGTATATTATTAAGTACTCCGTAGATTGCAACTCAAACCCAAGCTAAAGTCCGGACCATTACGTTCTTTAACCAAACTGTACTGGTAAAAGGCTAAAAGCAACGGTCCGTCCACTCTCCACTCCACAAATCACAATGCCTATCACCTGTTTGCTAAAAGGTCACTAAGAAGACTGATAAAAGGTACCGTCAGGCATGTACTATGTTGTGGAATTGCTCAAAACTCTCAAGGTTGCATCCTTTCACCAACTGCACCTTTTTCACACCTTTGATACTGGAAACAGGTGAGCTTCTCTGTTTTGATCATTTCTCATTCTTTTGTTATTTTGATAGTTTCAGTCCAAGAAAGAGTGAAAGTTTTAAAAACCACATTTTTTATAGAATTGTGATCAATGTATAAATTCAACTCCCTCTATCTCTATATTTTTTCCCAAGTTTGATTGACATAAATGTTTAGAAAATAAGAAACCATGTTGTCATGATATATTTAGAAAGTCATACTACGTATAATATAAATCCATAATTTCTTTTTTAAAATTAATATTTTGAGAAAAACTTTAAAGGAATGAGTACCAGCCACCTCTATCATGTTTGGTTGAAGCCCTTTCTCCCACCATCTTTGAGCTTTCCCGATTCCAGTGCTCATCTGTAAAAACCTATGCCGTGAATCTAAACAACAACATTCCGATCTGCAAAATCAACTTCCCTAAAGCATAAAAACTTTCCGTATAGATCTAACTTGGAACAAACCATTGACAGTTCAAATAATGAATGTCAAATGAAATCTCAAGAGTCCAGACACAGTCACACAGATTTGAGTGTTGGAGATAGTAAATAACCAAAAGAAATCATAAAATCTTAACAAAATTCTTTTGAAGGAATAACAAACCTGTTTCCGTCCATTTCCTTGGGAAACCTTCGTTGCGATGTCTACAGCACGGCCGTCAAAATCTGTGTTCGGTGAATTCAGAGCTCCGCACCGGAGCTTCAAAGACTGGACATCGGAGGAGGCACGCGAAAGAGCAGCCGATCCAACCGGAAAACTACAAACTACACGCTGACTATACCGACGAGCCGCCGATCTAAAACACGTACTCGACGGCGAGAACGCAACGCCTGCCACCTTGCTCACCACTTCCGCCATGGATGAACCGCTAGATCGGTGTTCTCTAAGCTTGGGTAGAGCGAAATGAATCGAATTCGAAGCCGAAACTTTAGGGTTTAAAAAGAGAAAATGGATATGGCGTGATTCTTTGCTTTTGCCCTTTCCTTATTTTTCTTCTTATTGCCTTACCTATTTGCCTTGTTTTGATGACGAGCGTAAAGTTTGACTTGTCGTTTCAATAGTATCCACATCGGACGGCTGAGCGGGCTTGAATATTCGGTCATTCACCGATCATCAGGACACGTGTCGAGAAAAGCGGGGCAAGAAGAACGGATAATTCGGGAATTCCGAAAATCACGCTAGGGATGTGTTTTTTTAGATAAATAAATGGATAAAGTGGATTGGGATATGTTGGACCCGGTCGTTTGTGTGAATAGTCCCACCACCACATAGAAATTTAAATGGGCCCGTTCGTATCTTAGAAAATCTATGAGTCTTGTTTTTTTGTTGACGTGGTCCAACATGTCTCTAAACATACATTTTTTAAAGAGAACCCTTTTAAATGTTTTTTTATTTTGTCTTGTTGGGTTAATGGCCCAAGTTGAGGTTCGGCCCATTTACCCCTTCATCCAGACGTACGTCCAGATAAGACACTAAGCTAGCCTGGCATGCCGTTTTCCCCCAAGAGGGACGAACGTCTGCCGTTGGGGTTCAGGCTCAACGGCCCATCTCGACGAACGTCTATGCAAGGATGAGGAGCAGGACCACGGGTCACCAGAATGACGACGAACGTCGTCAGAGCAAGCCCATAGCCATCGGAGGCCGCCTGGAGCGATCCAGCTCGCTCCCCGGGCGGACGCTCGCCATCGGAGGCCTTTTCGCTGACGCCGCCCTGGCCAAGGCCAAGGCTGTCCAAACAGCCGATTCCAATTCTTCCGCCTCCCAGGCCGACCGTCGCACGGTGGAGGCGGAGCAGCATCTTATCGCCACGGTGATGGCGCAGGGGTCCCAGGCCCCAATCCTTGGTTCTGGCGCCTCCGAAGTTGTGGCGCCCCTGCAGACCGTCCATCCCCATGATGGGGAGAAGGCGAAGGATAAGAAGTTGAAAAGGCCTCGGGGGGCCGGCTCTTCGGCCCCCGAAGAGCAAGAGTCGATCCTTCCTTCCCTCGGACGTCCGGCTCATGACATATGGCAGGAAATTGCCTCCCTGGTCGGTGCGGAAGTTCCTCCCCGGACGTCTTCGGAGGCCTCTAATGCGGCTCTGGCCGCCGCTCTTCAGGTGAGACTTCGCCACACGCCAGGTAGTTGATTACATGTATTCTGTCGACTTGCGGTCTCATCTCTGTGTTTGATTTGTAGGTCGGGCTCTCCATTCTGCAAGCCGAGGCTGCCCGGGATGCCGACGCCCTTCATGCCAAGAATAAGGCAGATGCGGCCTTGAAGAAGGCGAGGGAGGCCGTTCGTCTCCAGGAGAAGGAGACGGCAGCCAAGGACAAGGAGTTGCAGGCTGCCCTGAAAGTAGCTCGCGAATCATCAGCGAAGATTGCGGCCCTGGAGAAGGCCGGGTTCAAGCTCGTCCCGGCTCTCCCCGCCCCCAAGGACGAGGCCCCTGAATGGCTCGTTGATGACTCCGGGTATCGCAACTCCGGGGCCTTTATGATCGCTGCCCAGCAGTACCTCGGGGGCACCTTTGGCGATGTGTTTGCCGCCGAGCTGCAGAAATGTGCGCCGAAGGACCGGCTTAAGTTCGGGGTCCGGGTTCTGGAGAGTGCGCCCCTGGCCGAGAAGTTCTTGTATGATGTTGGAGATTCCTCCTTCGTCATTGGCTATAATGAAGGGGTGAAGGCCACGCTGCCCGTATTCGCCGCTCTCCAAGGCCCCGGGTTCAACTTGGCCCAACACACCGCTGACGCAGAGCTGATCCGAGCCGTGGGCAAGTTGGAAAGGGGCGCCCGGCGGGAAGAGGCCAAGGCCAAGGCCAAGGGTGAGGTCCCGGAGCCCCCAACCCCCGAGCCAGAACTCGAAGAGGAAGAAGAAGCTACCCCTTGGGGGTCCAGGCCCGTTTCCCCCAACTTTGTCTGATGTAATCGTAATTTCTTTTGTTCTGGTTCTGTAATATCCAGCCAGTAAAGCTGAGGAATATACAACTCTTTTTGCCCCATCATTGTCTCTACGTTCATGAACTCTTTTTGTTTTATTCCTTTCATGGATAGTTGTATTTCAATCTTCCGAGATACGAACGTATTGCTTGGAGTTCACCTCATACGTGTAAGCCCACCTCCCGCGCTGTACGTACTTAATCTCACGTACGGGGATGCGAACGTACTTCTCAGGATCAATATTGGTAGAGATGTCCGTCATGTGGGTACAAGCATAATTATCCATGCTGCGCGTGCCCAACTTAAACTTCGTAGGGCGACGTTCGTCTGCATAACTAGGCGTGGGGATACGGACGCACTCCTCAGAGTCAACGCCTTGACAAAGACGTTCGTCGCATTAGGAGTAGCATAACTTTCCATGCCGTGTGCTCAATCCAGATTTCGTTCATGGATGTTCATCTGGCCCCAACGTTTGCGGTGGTGCAAAGCATGGAAATACGAACGCATCCCGTGGATACGCACGTCTCCCGTTAGTTGTCGATCTTGAGCTCAGTCGGTGGATGCGGTCTCTGTGCACCTCTAGATCTTTGGCAGGACGTTCGTGGCGCCAAACCGGGTTCCCTTGCGGTGGCCATAGGGTGGTAACATCGAGGCGCCTTTAATACCGTGGTAGGTACCGGTATCCAGGCGCCACGTGTCCCACCGCGATTGGCGTGATCCCACAGTGCTGTCTATAAGTACCCAAAATCTCGCACATTCCCCATTCGCTTCATCTCTAGTCCTTGTGCTGCGCAACTACTCTCTCTCTAGCTTTTTTCTGCATTGCCTCAGGCTCCAACACCCGTAGGTACCGAACGTCGTCATGTCTTTGCATAGGTTGGAACCCCAAAACATTGATTCAAGGACCCGAAACAGCTCGTCGTCCACCGGAGATAGGTTTGATGACGGGTGCTCCTCCGGTGATGACCTAGAGTTCTATGAGCGGGGTATGCCACCTCGGCCCCCCGTCATCACCTTAATTTTTCCGGCGTTCGTCGTCAGCGCCAGCGTCTTTTGAACGCGAACCGTCGGTTGATAAGCCAATGGTTCCTCCCTCCAAGGGTTTACGACGACCGTCGTCTGCGCAACCCAATGCGCCACCTGTCCGGCCATGTGGTGGTTCATTTAAATTCCGTCATAGCTGTCCTTCTTTTCCCCCTCCACAGCTTCCATATAGAACTCTTTAGGCACCTTCAAGTGACGCTCGCTCAGTTCGTCCCCGCTGCTTATAGGATTATCACGGGTTTTATAATTAGGTGTCACAGTGTTGGCGTGACCCCCACCGTAGATTTGTTGCATCATTTCTTCCGGTTGTCCCCCTTCGGACGAACGGGTTATTTAACCCTGATTGCCCGTCCATCCATGGTCCTATTTTCAAACAACGCCGGGAACCTGGATGGCTGGGAGGAGCGGTTTTTCCTTGCGGAAGTAGGTTCCCCGATACCATTCTCCGATAGGTGGAACGCCTACCCGGTGAAGTCCATCCCGCCGCCTATGACGGATGAGGAGCTTGGCTATGCCAAGCGCATAGCTGGACTTGGCGTCCAGAACCTTCGGTCGCTGGTAGCCGAGCCTTTCAAAGCTCGGGTCGGACTAGGTGCGTCCGTTTGTACTTGCATTGTTCTATCACCTTTTCGTTGCTATGGTTCTGAACGTCTTGATTCCTTTTTAGCAGGAGTTTTCCCATCTATATTATCCATGGGACGTGCCAACGTTGTTTCGTATGCCCACGCCCGCGAAAACAAGGACCAGGACAAGGGCAGAAAGCCGCTCGTCCCCAAGATCGAGCCTCGGGCGAGCAGGAGGCGGCCAGATGATGCGTCGGAGGCCGGGGCTTCAAAGAGGCCGCGCGTCGACGGTACCGCCTCCACGGCCATCGTAGTGGCTGATGACTCCGATGGTGAGCCTGGGAGCCCCCTGAAGCGGAAACCCTCTTCCCGGAACAAGCCCCTTATTTCTCCTTCGCTGAACTCTGAGGTTCGTCGCCTCCGGAATGAGGAGGTTCAATCCACCAAGGGCTCTGACGATGCTCGTCCCTCTTCGCCCCCAGAAACCAATGGGTCCTCCCTTGGCCTTATCGAATTCTCCGGGGTTGGCCTAACCTCAAATTGAGCAATGAGAGCCCCGCACGTGGACACCTCCACGCGTGCCCTCAATGCATGCAGACAAGTAAGTAACGTCCCTGACGTACTCTTCCTGCTCAGTGCGTCGGCCACTACATTGGCCTTTCCGGGATGATAGTCGATGATCAAGTCATAGTCCTTGATCAACTCCATCCATCTTGTAACACCCACTACCCGGCCCGGAAGGCTAGGGCAGGGAGTGCTACCCGCAGTGCCGAAGCACCAAAGCGTTAACTGATTAACTATTTTCTTAAAATAGTTTTGGCCGAATTTAAATGAGATTAATAATAGAGTTTATCAAAGTCCATAAATAGCGGAAGCATAAATATTACACAAGTAGTTCTGGATTTTTGAGTAATCAAATACATCCATGAAAATTGAACATTCTCATGTTTACTTATTGCACAACTAATATGCTAAATGAGTACTTATTATACAACTAGAGGTGGATTATTACTAATATGTGGATGTGACTCTTTGATGATTGGCTGCTGCTCCCAAATGCATCCTGGATCCGCCTTGTAGCGCTTATTGACCTACGCGAAGGACAAAAATCCAACGCGCTAAGCAGATCTTGCTTAGTGGTGTTCATTCTTTCTCAATATAAAATTATCATAAATAATAATCAACACGAATTGTAATAATACCAACATAGCTCATAAAAACCGTGCTTTAAAAATATCACTCTTCATAGCTATTGTAGCTTGTAGATATGTCATATACGTAGTAATTAATATCACCATTTTGTTCAAAGTCACCATTTCCAAATATTTCTAATATTGTATCACAAATTAAATTATACTCTACGCTCTTAACGTTTTCCATTCACTTTCAATGCATCCTTCCATTTTTCTCAGTTTGTATTTCCAAATCGAATTTCTATACATTTCTTATTTTGGAATTTTACTCCTT